AACCAGTATTCGGGATTTCAGTGCAATCATCAAAGAAATAGCAGCTAAGGAATAAAAATATTGTTCTTATCCACTTTTCTGTTCCAGTTTACACGAATTAGAAGCTAGACATCTGCAAAATCTTTAGAAAATGTGATTCCCCTAAAATATTGTGGCTATCCACATTTCTGGTACTGCAATTATATCAAAATTTCTCCAAGGTTTCTAGTGGAAGATGCAAATAAGAAAATATCCAAGTAAGCATCTTATAACATATAAGAACGCTAGAGGAAACACGTACCTTCGAGAAAGCAGACATCATACGAGCTAAGACATCCAAGCCACAGGATATAGCTAGTTGCAGACCTTCAATATCCACTATGTCTAAAAGACGGGAAACATAGAGCTTCTGAAGGTTAAGGGAAGAAAAAACAAAGAGGTCAAATACAATAACAGAGAATCATACTCTGAACAGATCTGAAAATTTTTAAGGAATCAACACATCAGCTTCAACCTCTAAGTTTCTTTTAGTTGTACAAACAATTCGAAGAAGTGAAGAGTGGACGGAAGAATCACAAAGCATAATATCAGTAACAACTTCTCCCAGTTTTTGACAACTGGCCAGTGAAATACATTTCTTCATGACTTCAAGCACCTACGCAAGGAAATCAAACAAGACGTCAGTGGGACCAAGGAAATTGGAGGTACTTTAGGGACTTACTAACACTAATGTAATTTAAAAAATATGCATAACAAGTGGAGATTCTAGATATAGGTCTTTTCCATGGTCTCTTGTAATGTTTTAGTGGATGGTTAAATATCATGTACTAATAAAGCTCAGGGAATGCACTATGAGGTATTATCAAACTCTGAATAATGATTTCTCTAGGAGAAGAAAAATTAAATAAATTGAGAAAATGGCCTGCATGCTCGTCCAAGAAAAATTTCATGGCTGTGTTTCTTTCCCATCTTGTTCCAATATCAAAGTACACATTTGTTTGTTTCAGATCATATTACGGAGTAATCTAATATTACTGCAAGGAAATATCACAGTTTTCCATTAGGAGAGAGCATGCCATACCTTATGGGTCACCTTCCACCGAGCATGCTTCACATTATATTTCCAGAATTCATGATTAACAAGGACATATTGAAGGGAGAAAACAACGAGTGCAAGGACACTATCAGTTTCTGATTCGGTATCCAGAAGATTCGTAGTTAAGTCCAGAACTGCACAATATGAGAAATTGTGAACAATAAGAACGTTATGCATCAAGTGATGAGATATCAACAGATATTTGCTTGGTGCGATGTTTTGATGGAAAAGGATAAACTTTGTGTATTCTAAATGGTAAAGTGTAAGGAAAAAAAAAACAGTTTGTCTATGTGCAAAAATAGTGCATACTTGTGGTGAAAATATGTAGCCTATGATTGCTTGGCTTTTGTTCAAATTAATAGTTATTTTTGGAAAGAGCTGTGCATCAAAATTATTTGGAAAAATAATTGATGTAATTTGTTTAGCAAATTTTGTGGTTGATTTCGATGGGTGATTGAAAATGTAAGACTGCATACAGAATACTTGATGTGATTTATCTTGATCAAAAGATAATATAACTAATGATTGGTAAGTAAGGAGTGAATAGTTTATAGAATATATATAATTTTTGAACAATAAGATTGGACCAAAAAAGATCATAGAAAATCTTAGAAAATGAGATGCAAGCAATCATAGACATCATTTTCTCTAATTATATATAGTGGGCAAAGATCAGAGAAGACAGAATATATTCACCATCAGACCTATCTCAAATATGAGTAGGCAACCACAGGAAAATGAGAATTGACAAGGATATGCAGGTTGTGGGAAAGCGGTGGAGAATATAGATGAACTATAAAGAAAAGGAAAAATAAATGAAAAAAGAAATAAATGCAAGAAAATAGTTCACAAGGGATCAGCAGAAAAGACAAACAACAAATCTAAGCCCAAACAGAAAGTAGCTAGATAAATCAAATACATGCCTGCCACAGTCATTGAGCAATCACTCTGCTCACAATCAATCAAAAGCATTTTGGCAAGTCTTCCAGAAAGCAACCAGGATCCACTGGAAAGTTCATTAAAAGATAATGTCAAGACAAGCATTTCACTGTCACAGCCATGCTTCTATCAGAAAATAATCCAACATAGAGATTAGAGACAGGAACAAAGAAACTAAATGAACATTATAAGATTGAACTAAACTACCCTAGAATAACTTGAAGCAAGTAATCAACTCAACTCAACGAAACAAAAAGCTTTTCCCCATAGAAAATAATACCCGCAGCTGTATGTTGAAGTAGAATAAAATTGACTGTATATACATGATACAAGTTGCACTCCGCGCATTCGATCGAATGCACTCAATGCTTTAGACCCCCAGACTACAGAATATCCAAGAAAGTTAACCTTGATAAACTGTTGGAGCCCACATCAAAAGGGTTCGTCCTAAAGGCAACATCAAATATGTTTCCCTTCATGGCCATTGTAGCGACCCGAGATGGCATGCTGCAGCAAACACATACAAGAGGAGGGATTAAGAACCAGATAGCATGATTCACAAAAGCAACTGATATGTAATAAAATGATAAATATATCAATTTGAAAACCATATTCAGGTTGAAATGATAAATACTTCACCATATACATCCTGGGACCTTGGTCACAAGCGCCAAAAAGAAACAGCCAGAGAAAAATTTCTTGGAGAAAATGCTTACAAAGGGTCAAGTTTGGTATGCATCCTCCAGAAACATATCTATCGTACATGTATATTTCCATAGAAACAGATGACGAACTATAAATTAGTGCAAATGGTTACCATTGCAACATTTTCGTTAATATATTAACCCCCATGGACATCATTACTGCACCATCCACGCTAGGGGAAAGGCTTTTCACCAGAGCACAAACAATCTCAACCACATCAATGCTGCAATCAAAACATATATTTGCAACTAAATGATTAATATATGCTAAATCCAAAGCCGCCCAAAAATGTGAAATTACAAGATCGTACCTGGCATATGTCTCCTGGCTCCCAAAAGTAAGTTCTTTGTGAAGGGAATTCCAGGGATTCATAAGAGAATAACAAACAGCCTAACATCCAAAGTATGTAAGTGTCCATATCAACAACCAATTGCAAGTAACATTTACAACTTTTTTCATGGGAATTTTAGCAGATTAGTGACAAAACTTTTTTTGACAAGTAACATCTGACGGAGAAGTTGAAGGTAATGTAGGCAGACCGGCAGTAAATCAGTATTGTCAAAACACATCAAGCATAAGAAAGTGCAAAATCAGGGTATTAAGACAACCACATAGGTGAAATCTGACGTGATAGCCTGGCTGCTGAGAGATAAGTGATTATCAAATAAAAGCAATTAGGCAATTCATACGTTCACTAAATGCAGCGAAACTTGTCAATCTTACGAATGCAGGACAAAACAATGAAACCAGCCATCAGAAACAGAAGATTGAAATATATTGTACCATATTAAAGGTCACCAATCGACTCAGTAAATCAAGAATAACAATGAGATCCTGAGAATTTTGCATACGTAGCTCTTGAGCCAAACGCATAAGCAGCACAAGCACCCCAGACTCTGTGTACTGCAGAGAAGACAAGTAAAATAAACATGAAAGCTAAAAAAGTAGGAGAATGAATAAACAAATAATGTTTGAGAAACTTCAGTTTTAAACTTCATGAGTCATAATCTGCACACAATTATCTCAACAAAGTGAACCATTGTCAGCATTTCTGCAATACCACACATCACTAAAGAGATAAGGCCTATTAAGCAGCAGACCTTAACATGAACTGTGGGATTGTTGATTCATACAACAACAACAACAACAACAACATACCCAGTATATTCCCAACAGGTTGGGGTCTGGGGGGATTGTTGATTCATATCAGGACAAATAACTACAGCTCATTTATATACATAACATGAAGAATAATTACAGCAAATAAGAAATACACCATTAATTAAAAGCTGTTGAAATATGGGCTTGGACAGAACTCATCTCCAAAAGCCAGCTCAAAGGGAGAGAATGACCAACCCACACTCCTACACAATAACAGTCTAACAACCAATCGATGTGAAACAAACATAATTTCTAATCCGCCGTAGCAAACACACTAGGGTACTCGGATACCATGATACATGGGCTTGGGTATAACTCATCCCTATTAACTAGCTCAACGGGAGACGATGCGCAACACACACTTATACACGGTAACAGTCCATAAACTAACTAATGTCGGTCAAACATAACTTATAATAGCCACAACACAACAAAACCACAAATCTACTGACCTGTTGATACACAAATATATACAACGAAACTCGACAGCATAAGAGAAATGCATGATCCTTAGGAAATAATATTATAAACAGCTCACTTACCTTCCACCGTACCAGGGCACAGTTTTCATCAATCATTCTCAAAACCTGACCCTTAGATTTGCTAGGTATGACCAAGCCTTCAGCATCAGCCACATGCAATGGTGAATGAATTTCGACAATCTTTGAACTAGCATCTAGAACAGCGTCTCCTCTAAGCCCAACAGGTGTTGATAGCCCAACAGACTTATCAAGAAAATTAAATCTGCTCAAAAGTTTCCAGAAAGTTGTGGGAAAATAATTCAAATAAAACAAAAATCGGAGAGATAACAAAATTGATTACTAAAGAAATATACTTTTCCAGTTATATCCAATTCAACTCAATTAAACCTGCAAAATCCATTGAACTCTATAATTTTCCTAATACAAAATTCAAGCAAGTTTCACTAACACGCACACTACAAAAAACAAGCAAGTTTCACTTACACGCATTCTGATGGCCACGCGCCTTCGCAAAGGGCTGACAACAATCTTACAAGCTCAACATTCCTGAAAGGGAATTCACCTTCTAGGTTGCAGAGAAGACACCTGATAGGACCATCAATGAAACTGTCCTTGTCCCAAAACTGAATACAAAGAGACTCCTGCAAGAATTAAAGTCGCATATATGAATTATCTAGATTGACGGGATCTCATTCTTCAACATATTAAAATCGTTAAACAGACCTCGCCTCGATAGATCTTGCACAGTATTTCCAGTATTAATTTCAAATTATCATCCTCGAACTGCAAGATGTGGAAAGAGGTATAACCAACCACATGAACAGTAAAATGTATTGATTATGTGCTTCTGCCAGTGGCATACCTGGAGACTGATCTCGTAAGATGCAATAAAGGCCGATATGAATGTTCTCAAAACACTACGATAGCCTGCCACAGGACCCTGGTAAAAAGTGGAAGAAAAGAGTATCACCCATACAATAAAAAGATAAACACATTAAGGAATTCAAGCATACATACATGTACTTACTAAACTGGAAAAAAGACCACAAAAAAATATTAGAAATACATATTGCTCACATCTGAATACTTTAATGTGTCACTTTGTAGAATCTCAAGAAAATATTCCAATGATGAAGCTTCAAAAGCTTGACGAACATAACCAACATGATCTAGATCCTGTTATGAATGATTGCATTAAAAACTCCGACGAAGTAGCTAATGATTAAGGCAAGCAAAATTGTGATTGTTAAACATCTTTGATCGAACCACGTACCATCAGCAAAACATTTCTCTCTTTCTCTGGAAGAGCAGAAATGAGACATAGAAACACAGCCCAAGAGAGGATCAAAGGGCCTTCTTCTTTGGCCTCGAAAGCATTAAAACCAGAAATCACTGAATCCAGTTGTTGAACATCCATCTCGGAAAAGCCAATAGAACCCTGCCTGAGCAAGAAATGGCAACATGTAAGTTATTATAGATAACTGAAACGATACAAAGTGCACATACATCATGCTAAGTGGAATGTATTTAAAAGTCAACTAAACTACAGAAGTTTCAGTTACATCTTGTGTTACTCGACACTCTTTAAATATTATGTAGCTATCGGACCATACATGACCTTCAAGTTCACTCATGTATGGTCATCTATGGTACATAAAATAATAGTAATCGGAGATGGTCATCTATGGTACATCAAATAAATTACAAGTGTATCTGTAAATTATGTAACATGTTCAACCCATTTTTTCCAGGATGGTTGTACCTTATAGCATCAAAATTTTACAAGAATAAATGATAGGGAAACCATATATTAGAATTCATATCTAAACTTTCTAACAACTGAAAAGTGTACACAATGAACAACTGTGTACAATCATATTCACTAACAAGAAACAAACCAATATCACCATCAACACGATAATCAGAACAACGACACTGTTGGAAGTCCCCATTTAACAAATCTAGTTTCGTGAATCTTACAAGAATAATGGCCGATCAGCAGGATTTATTTCTAAGATTCATAGAGATGAGCCATGCTATGAAATGACATTAGATAATAGTGAATAAATTGATACAGCACTAACTACAATGGAAATCTTGCATCCAGCAAGCAGTGACTCCAGAATCTAGCAAGTCCCAGAGATAAATAGTCTCAGAAGCACCCTATCATAAATGGACTTGAGCAATGAAAAATGTTTCATTTTATGAGCTCTACAAACACTTGATGCTCTTCCAAATCTCCAAATTCATTTCACAATCTACTATGGTTCCGACTCCTTTAACAGTTGAAAAACTGTATCTATAGTCTGTACTTTAGGCAGCAACAGCAAGGATCACATAGCATTGCATTGAAGAGGGTTCAAATATCTGGCATTTCACAACTAAATAACACAAAGTAAAGCAAATGATTGAAGACTTCTATATAAGTCTTGGTTCTTTTAGCTGACAGGAGTAAAGCAGCTAAAAAGCAATCATATATACAAATACTTCCTATCCAGAACACTATGTTTAAAGAAGTGCAACAAAACCTTAATGGAATGTTGTCGTGGATCATTTGAAGGAGATTTTCTAGATTTAGACCCTCTATGAGAATAAGCAACAGCTGCACTTTGGCATGATATATAGAACGAATAGCATCAGGTGTTATTGCCAGTTTCTGGAGGTTGTAAGATCCAGTGACAATGCCCTGCATTGAGTAAGAATGAAAAGATAAATAGATGCATTAAGTGAACCAGTACAACCAGAGCGAAAGAATAGATGATCACCTCATATAGTCCACACAATCTTTTCCAGCATTTGGCATCACAAGTACAAAATGACTCATAATAAATGAGAAAAAGAATGTCAAGGATTATGTTGTCCTCTATTAGTGTTTCCTCAGCCCATAAAGGGTATAGGTCAAAATCCTGTAAGAAGACAAAAAAGCCATCAAATGCATGGTAAGGGTCAAAATTCAGTTAAAAATAAAAGCCATAAAATGCATGGCCCTGTTTAATATACTGTTGTACAAAAGAAGACGAACAATGGATTGCAGAAATCAGACATAAAATGTTAAAACGAGGCTGGCATGCTAGAGTACCAGAATTTAAATGTGATTGGACCTACCATATTCTCAGGGTAATTGGAAGATAGAAGATCCTGGAAGATAGATAACAATTTACATTCAAGCCCATCAGAAATCAACCTTCGTGCCTCATCCAATACAGCCGAACCTTTATCCGATTGCGATTCAAATTGCACTACACCAAGATATTTGCATCACAACAAAAGCAGAAATAGCAAGAAATTTAATAAAAGCAACAAAAAGACCAAAGGGGAAACATCTATGTATTTGTCAATGTCTACAGTACCCATAAAATGCTTTCAGCATCATCACCTAGAACAATGGTATTTCCAAATATATGAGCCCATCTAGTAACAAACAGGATCTGCTATTGCGACTATTTAACTTTCAGAGTTCCAACTGAGCCTACCGATAAATACCTACACCTTAAGCTTCGCCGATTTTTCCCAATCCACTAAAAACTCCATACGAGCCTACTAATTCAACATATGTACAATTTGTAAGTTGTGTGATATCTACTTGGATGTATATACCTGTAGTCTGACATCATTATGTTATGAAACCAAAAGGAAGAATACTTACAGGCATGCAGAAGTATATGCCGTGTACACTTCAACAAACATTGCCGTTCAATGTAGTACTCAAGAATAACCTAAATGGAAAAGCACAAATGACAACTGGTGAAAAGGTAAAAGATCTAGCGAAAAAAGATAAAAGGAAACTTTCTTCTCCAGTCTGGACAAACTTCGAGATAAAACCAACAAAAGACCATTCATTAAAACTTGCACTTTAACGACCCCAAGTGTCCAACTGAAAGTATAACACATCCTAAACAATCACTGATTCAGCCACCTTGACCCAATAACTACAATGAGGTCTGTAAACCATTTGTTGCTCCATCGATTACATGCTTTCAGATTTTACTTCAATATCTAAACAAGCTGAAGAAGTGGATAAAGCATGTCTTACAAACCATAACACCAGCATTAACTATTGTATCCTCGCAAGCCACAATGACATACGCTAACCATGAGACAAAAATATAATAATAATCATTCCCCATGTAAAGTAATAATCATGGTCGCTTAGAAACTGATGGAGAGGGGATGAGAGTAGACTACTAAGAACAATAATAGATAAGAACAAGGACAGGCATACTAACCGAATTAAGAATATTTGGAAGTATAGCACCGACTGCTGAATTATTGTGCTCCTGTGATCTTTTAACAAGGATATATGACTGCACTTCATCTAAACACTGACAATCAAACAACCTACATCATTGTCTCAGCAAATAAAACAGCACAGATAACTGAAGCAGCAGCTGGAACTCCATGAATGCAATAAAAGATGCAAACAACTCTAAAAAGGGTAAATAAGCATTACCAATGCTGAGCTAATCTTGAGAGCAGCTTGTTTCAGTTCAAGATGCACATTAAACTCGTGCGGACCAATTTTGATAGACCGCGAATCCAAGGCTTCCTTTGATTTCTGACTCGGTGGCCTGAATTTCGCAGTGGTATCCAGGAACCATGCGTGATTGTCCCTCACCTTATTCTCCTGAAACACATACATTCAAGCAATTAAAGCAAATCAACTTCTCAGTTCTCACCATTTACAACCATTCTTTACTGAACTAAACTCGTTCAATCACACACCACTCCCAAAATTTCAACAATTCAGCTGGGTTTAATTCACAGATTGTTTACCAGGTCCCGAGGGATTTCTGATGAAATAGAGGCATTCTCAAGCTCGGCGAGAAAGGCACTGAATGGGTCCCACCATAGTCCGGCGTCGGCGGTTGTTGCAGCGGCGGAAGATTTCTCGGCGGCGTTTTTTGCTTCGGTTGCCGGCATTGCAGAAACTGGGATTCACCACGAGCGAGTTGAACAGATATGGGGAAAAATCGAATGAAATTTGAAACCCTAGAGAGAAGGAAATTGCCCGCGCTTTTCTGTAGCCAGAGGAGAGCGACCCAAAAAGTGCCTGGGTTTAAGCTCGGGTTTAGAATTTAGAACGGAAGTCCTGAACTGGAGTAGTCTGTACTCTGTAGCTTGAAAACTGGTTTTTTAATTGTGATTGATTAAATAAATAGATTAACTAGTGTGTTAAATAATAAATATACATTTAAATTAAATTTTGAAAAAAATAAATAACTCTTATCTAATTTTTTTATATTTTATATTATTATACCTAAGATGCATGGCGATAGTACGATAAATTTACATAAGGAATACAAATTAAGTTCTTTCAACACGTATATGTAATAAGAGATTAAGACACGATCCAAATTCATCGATAAATATCGATGCAAGCATATCAATACAAACACCCAACTTGTTATTATAATCTTGATATAGGCATATAACCACTTCGTAATCCGTCAACAGTTTATTTTTAAAATATTGCACTACTATTTATTATTTAATATTATATTCGATAAGACTTGTTCGTCCTTATTATATTAAATTTCTAATTTTACATCATATAATATGTTTGCTTGATAAATTTATTTAATCGATAAATATTAATCTTATTATTTTTACAATTGACAAATAACTTGATTTCATTAGAAGTTGTATGATTAAAGTCGACGTGATGTAAAAGTAGGGGCAAATATAATTATAAATAATGTGTAGTTAAAGTATATAATGGATGAAAAGTGAATAAAAGGTGACGCGATGTTTGAGAATGATTGATTGATGTTATTTAATTATATTGATAATCTTTAGTAAGTTTGATTGAATTAAACTTGAATTCGATTTTGAGTTAAGTACTGTAAAAAAAATGTCAAATAGTCAAAATTGATTTTAACTAGTAGTTAATCACACCCTCAGGGATTCATATAATTTTCAAAAGTTACATCAACACGAGAACCATAAATGAGAGTTTTCCCCTCCAGAACATTATAACGTAAGCTCCCAATCATTAGAGGAGCCAGGGCTCTGACCATGTGCCTACTAAGAATGAGCAGACAACTCGACGTAGTTAAGAAAACTCACTCGAGTCGTAGCGAAAAGAACCTTCATGGGGCAATTGCCAGTGCTTACGGACCGAAAAATATGTGATATATCAATTACCAAAAACCGGAGCTTGAGTAAAATTAATTAAAGATTTGAATCGATTGACATTGAAGAATCAATGGATGAGTTGTGATTATGGGTGAAATGCCACTCGAATGGACTTTTCTATGCTATTATTAGGATTATTGAAATTATAAGACATTTGATTAACTTGTTTTCTAAATACATACTCAATAATATTTATAGTTATTGTCAAATTATTTATATATGACTTATGATATTAACTATTTCTAATGTCATTTGATTTAATATCCATGTCGCATAGATTTATTTGTAGCGAATTTTACCCGCAACTGGGGTCGTTTTAAATAAAAAACTAATGATTTTTTTTAAAGAATATTTAATATACTTGTTTTATTATTTTAAATAAATATAAAATTATTAATTAATATTCGTATACTATAAAGTTTGTGTGCTATCATTAATGTTAAAACTGAAGTAATTTTACATGTTTACTAGTGTGTGGTCCGTGCGATGCACGGGAAAACAAAATTACGATTATATTATAATTATATATATATATATAACATTACTCTTGATTTATCCATTGTTTATAAATTAAACTCGGTTGGACACAGTCCAATTGGATGGACCGAGAACCGATTTATAACCAGTCTAGTTCACTTGAATAAAATATTTGTTATCGAATCCATCAACACCAGTCGGTTGGACTGGTAGGATCGATATGGTCTTCTAAATAAATTTTGTTACATTTAAACTTGTTTTAAATAAAATTATATATTTAAATAAAATAGAGATTTATAAATCATTTATCAGTTTGTTTAAACATTTAAATTTATAAAGCGTTTAGATATTAAAGTAACATATTTTATTTAAATTTATTACAAAAGTGTTATATATATATTAAAATATTTATAAATTAAAATCTGAACAAACCACAAATGATTTAATAGAATAACTTTATTACGGTTCAATTATGAAAACCTTATTCACTGTACATTAATAAAATTAGAATAAAATATTATTTTATTCACATAAATATTAATAAAATGATATATAAATATTCATTAATCATTAAACATGTTGTCATAAAAGTATTGTTAATATGATTATTTGAAGTTTGGACAATTGGACTACGTCACATTGACGTAATAAAGTATTCTCAATATTAAAATTTATATTTAAGTTCAACAGTCGATTTGGTATGGTCAAACTGATACATAACTTAGTCATCTGGTGACATCCAAATTGTGTCAAATTTTTTTACTATTTTAAATATCACCTAAAAGTAATTCAATCAACCTGGGCAGTACCCTAATTAAATCACCCGATTGATCCAAAGAAATTTCCTTATTTTCTTTAAATATATTTAATTTTATGGAATCAAAATATTTTATGATTCATATAATAAATGTCTAAACCAAATGATAGTATATTAAGATTATAAATTATATATCTAATGATGAATTAGTTAATTTTATTTTATGCATGTTAATAAAAAATAAACGTAGTAATTTTCAATAAATTAAGATTAATTGATAGATTATGCAATTGAGAAAATATTTTTAGCGTTCATTTTTTTTTTTCTTGAAAGACACAATATAAAGACCGAGATTCTCAAATTTTTGTTATATTTTGAATTGGGATTTATAAATATAGAGACCGAGATTTTAATGTTGTTCTATGTTTATAAGAAAAAAAATAAATAAATAAAAATGTGTACACTTAATAACATGAAATATAGAGACCGAGATTTTACACGGAAAAATTTAATGATTTTGTGAAAATGAAAAAATGGACAACCCGATTTATGTGAAACTGTATATAACAAACACCACATTACACGGACAAATTTAATGTTGTACGCGTGTTTTAAAAGAAACAAAAAAAAATGCTGACAACATTTAATGTTGCACGCTTGTTTTTAGGGGAAAAAAATGCTATTAATAGGAAGTAATTAATGCTAACTAGCTTTGACTAATAATTTGACCTGCCATTTTTAAAAAATGGTAATTCTTATTATATATATATAGATTATATTGTTTGATTATTTTTTCAAAAAAATATGATATTCAAAATAAAACAATATTCCCTATATATAACTTCAGAATGCGTTGAGCCTAAATGGCAGGCTAGTGCGCTTCGGAATCCTACTTGTCGAAAAATCATGCTTCATAATTTAGTTTGGGTAAAAAAATAATGTTATTCTAAATCAATAAACTTAGGTCTGAACATTCCATAAATATTGAAAAGCTAACTTGAGTAATTTCATAATACTTTGACTAGTATAACCCTTGATTAAACTTACTTATTGTTGTTTATATGACTAATATAGCTCCAAAAATTTATTTTGGAATCTCTCACTTTTCCAAAATGAATTTTACAATCAATATCAAAATTTTATACATATATATTGAATTTTTATATATAATATATTAAATTAATCATGTCTTTATGAACTTTTATTTAACATCTATATTATAGATATAAATTAGTTAATAATTTTATTTATATTTACAAATAAATTTAATTTATCTATTAATATTAATTTGAAAAAATATAATTATTTAAACTAACTTAACTACAAAGTAGTTATGTGATATAAATTAGAAAAATAAATAATATAAGATGGTAAGTCATGTAAGTGATGGTGCCAATTTAAATATAAGTAATAATATATTTTTAAAAAGTTTTTAAAAACTAAAATATTTTTTTCTTGTTATTATTATTTAAATTGAAATATAATTTTCTAACAAGTACCTGTGCAGTACACGGGTATTGCATTAGTATAAACATTATAATCGTGTTGTGAAAAACCAAAAAATCAATGCAAAAAATCAGTCACATAAATAAACCGTAAATCAACAATTTATAAACAATAAAATAATTTTTATTGATAATTAAAAATAAAAACTTTGTAAATGTATAAATGAAAACGTTTGTGTATGTATAAATTTTGTGAATGACGCTGTTCAGTAAGGAGAAGCTACTAGGTCTCGTGTCAGTGGTAGGTTTTCTTTGCTTTAGATTTTCATTCTCTTTGTTTGATGATTTTAGCTAAGGCTCCGTTTGTTTTGAAGGATTTGAAATCCCTTGATTTCAAAATTTTTGAAATATAATTTTGTTTACTTGCGCGCTCCTTGAATAGATGAGTTGAAAATATTATAAATCAATTGTCTAGCTCGCACCGATGGTGTTGACTCACGGTGGTGATGAACCTAATTCGCCGACGGCGTGGTCGTAACGGTGATAAACAATGAATTTCAAATGACTAGGTTTGATGAGTCATTTCAAATCCTTCAAAATAATGACTAAAAAACACTTAGCATGAATTTGAAATCCTCTAACTTCCATTATCGTCCCAACATGCATGAGAATTTGAACTTGTAAATTTAAAATCTATGGATTTCAAATCCCTCGGTAAATCCTTCAAAACAAACGGAGCCTAAGTATATTTGTGGGATTGGAGGGTGCAGTATCATATTATCTGCCTTTAATCCCGGTGATTTATGTCTGTGTATTGGTTCTGTATTTAGGCTGCTGGTTATTAGCATGCCTCTCATTGTATTAGGCTAGAGTCTTTGCATTGTTCTTGAATTTGTTGTGTTTTTGAGTGAAATGAGATATCCTATTGTTTGAGGAAGAAAAAAAAAAAGAAAAAAAAAAAAAAAAAAAAGAAAACGTTTGTGTATGTATAATTATTTTATTTTTTATTTTTTAATGGCATCCAAACGCAGGCCTATAGCTTAATTGGGCTTTATGTAAGAAGTTGGGTTATGTAACAACATACCATTATAGGCCAAGTTAAATCAGATGGGCCACTACCTTGATCCAAACAAGTGAAGTGGGCTTAATAAACGATCATTTCGCATCTTCTCGAATAGCCCTCAGATGATGTGTCAGTCAGTCTCTTTAAAAAGGGGGAAAAAGCAAAAGCCCTTTATTTGATTTTTCAATTCAAAGGAAAACAATAAATAATAAATAAAGTTATTTAATACTGGAGCAACTGCTGTACACGATAGCAGTAAAACCAGAGGGAGAGAGAGAGTGGGGGAGAGAGTGAGAGAGATAGAGAGAGGGAGAGAGAGAGAGAGAGAGAGAGAGAGAGAGAGAAAGAGAAAGAGAGGGCGTTATGCGTGTGTAGAATAAAGAGAGAGGAGCACAAATTGCTCGAGGAGGATCAAACATGGCGGACGCCTTTCGATGAGAACACACATTCCTCGTGTAGCTGAGTCTCCATCTCCGGTAATTTCCTCGCCGCGAACCACCGCTCACACGCCCACGTTCCGGCTGTGTGACGGTGATCCATGATTTCATCGTGTTTTCACCGCTCTCCATTCCGTTTCCATGCAATTTTAATCAGTTTCAACCTGCATGTGGATTCGTTGATTTTTCTTGCTGGAATTTATTATTATTTGCACTGGATATGCGTTGTTTTATGGATTTCTCTTTCTCCTGTAATTGATGAATTGAAGCTGTTCAGATATTTGGATTGAACGAGGAACTGAAATTTCGTCTAAGATAGATTAATCTGGTTTATCTGTGTGTGATTTGTTTCACAAGCGATTGAAGTTGATCCAAATTGTATCCGAGCATAGCTGAAGCTGGAATGCCTAATGTATAACCAATTTTCATAGCAGCATACCTGTAACATGGAAAACATAAGTCTTTAGTTTCATTGGTGTTTTGCTTTATCCCCATCTATCTGTTGGTATTGTTCTTATCCAAGTTCTATTTGTTGACAAAAAGTTGGACTCTATTTCAATGAAACTAGATGATGAATGTTCTTCCTTTTCTTTTCCCATTTTCCTTTCAAATTGCCATCAAACCATTAAGATTCTTGTAACATTTAGGGAATGAATATTTCCAGGTGGCAATATTTTATCTGTTCGATAAGTAGTTATTCAGTATCTTGGTAATGGGTGTATCATGTGCCAACTGCCAGTTAACTTTGTAAAAGTCTAGCTTGAGCTTACTGGCACGTAATGGACGTTTTTGTATGTACTTTTTTTGCATAGTAAGTTGCATATCATTCACTACCATATTGACAAGTCTTTAAATGTTGTCGATTTATTTCATGTTTGATTTCTTTGAGGGTCATCTTCTAATCGTGGTTCAGAACCATCTATTCCTCAAAATTTGTTCCACAAGTGCTTTAGTAGATGCCAGCATCACATAGAACTCAGAGATGCTTCATACTATGGGAACGAACTCTCATAGTACATTTTGTCTACTTCAAAATTTCTGCTAGCTGCAACACTACCACTGTTTCCCAGCAGTTATTGTCTTCTCAGCTACTTTGAGGTTAACTTCTCCGTTCACATCCTCAAACTTAAGTTTGCAATCATTACAGACAGTTCACTTGGATGAACTTAATAAATTGAAATCTATTCCATCAAGGAAAGATGAGAAAATGTTAATTGCTAGCAGATGATGTGCAATTTTTTTTTTCTCCTTCTATAGTGAGGAAGTAAATGATTATCAACATTTATGACAGTATAGTTTGCTGCTCTTGTTCAAATTGCTCCTCTTTGTTTTTCATTTTTCTATAGTGTTAGTTGTAACTGAAAAGATAACGCAGCCATAGGGCAACAGCTTGAATAATTTATCGTGCACCTGTTCACTCTCTCAAAGTGTGGAGATATTAAAAAATATAATATTTTGCTGCTTTACTTTACTCTACCCCATTTGTCCCACTGTCACCATCTATATTTCTCCCGACTTTCAGGAGAATGCACTAGTTCAGAACAAAACAAGTACTATCACGCAAGCACTAGCCGTGCTTCCTATTGGACAGACCTACACAAAGTAAACAGAAATGGATGAAATTGGACAACGAGAAAACAAGAGACACAGGACTGATTGCTTCAAATCAACCCCGGTAGAATGCTGACTTTTCTAATTCCCCCTTATATGTCTTTTAACTTAAAACTCATTTTGGGAAGAGAGCCCAACACCAAAACCAAAATGGAAATTTCTTCATATAAGCTTCTATATTTCAGCGGAATCCGGTATCACAATATCAGCCAAAGGAACAGAACGCATTCATGAAGATCATCACGCTCTGCGACGAAAGGGACGCGGCTTTCAAGGAACGCGATCGAGCCCTTGCCGAAAAAAAAGCTGCCTTGGACGAGCGGGACACTGCAATCCACCAGCGCGACTCCGCACTTGCCGAACGAGACAATGCCATCCGTGAACGAGACAATGCCATTGCTGCCCTCCAATTCCATGAGACCACTTTCAGTACCATATTCAACACTATCGGTTCACGCGGCCCGAAGCCCAGGCCCAAACCGAACAAGAAGAACTTGGGGAAGTCAACCAGTCAACTGAAAAAGTCGAGAAAAGTGGGGGAGGACTTGAACCGGCAAGTGACCTCTGACTGGTCAAAGGCCAAGTGGGATGCTAAGGAGTTGGGCTCGTTTGACCCGATACCATTTGACGAATCGACAATGGCCCCGCCAGTCTGCTCGTGCACGGGTGTCCCAAGGCAGTGCTACAAGTGGGGGAACGGAGGCTGGCAGTCGGCTTGCTGCACGACCTCCCTGTCAGTTTATCCTCTGCCCCAGATGCCGAACAAGAAGCATTCGAGGATGGGCGGCCGGAAAATGAGCGCGGGTGTTTTTAGCCGGCTGCTGACGAGGCTGGCCTCGGCCGGGCATGACTTGTCGGTAGCCGTGGACCTCAGGAGCTACTGGGCTAAACACGGTACGAATCGTTATATTACTATCAAGTAAAAGTTCTTCTTCTCTTATAATTTGGGTGTGCCATGTGTGTGTGTGTTACGGCCTGGTTTGCGACTTTGATTATTTGTTTGCTATGTGTTTATGATTGAATACTTGACTCTGTTGGAGGGTTGAAGTTTTTGTGTGCTCTGTGTCGAGACATCTTTTGTACATATTAGTGACTTGATGTGGCCTGATGGCCAGATTTAGCT